AGCTCGATCTCCCACCAAGCCAAACCGCTCCCCAAACATCACGCTGAAACCACCATGCTTCATAGTGGGCTGCAATCTGTTGAGCCAAAACTCTTGATGAGGCATTCTCCAGACCCATATCCTTCCACTGTCCGAAAATTGAGCTAATCTTGATTCGTCTTAGAACAATACGGTCTTCCAAAAGTACAGAGGCTTGGTAATCATATCATTTGCCCACTTCTTTCGTTTGACTATGTTGGCAGGTCTTAATAAGGGCTCCCGTCTAGCTGTTCTTGTCCGGGTCGTCCTGGTCCATCGGAGAGGACAAAAAGGGCTGTCAAGAGGAGCATCGAAATGGGTCCCAGATTAACGACTGCAGAAGTGGCCAAAGTTAGTGGGATGAGCGCGAAATCTGTTCAACGGATTCTCCACAGACTGGGTTATCGTTGCGCTGCTCAGTTGTTTCCTTGCCGTGTTTCCTAAACTGCACGATGATTCTGTTGACTGTCGAAAGCGGGATTCCCAAATTCTGCGAAATTTGCCGCTGACTTATTCCACCATCTGCTTGACATTTCCTCTAACAAAATCTGACAATTCGAGAGAACCTTGAGTTCCAGGCATATTGTAGCATAAGATAATTAGTGTGCGGACCATTTTCATTTATATAATGCTCTGTGAACACAAATTAGTTAGCATAAATCAGTTAAAATGACGAAAAAGTAGGTGTCTATTTACTTGTGACCACTCAGTGTAAGTTTAACATTACAGCAAATGTACATCGTTTCGACAAGGTTTTGTCATCATCAGGAACCTAAATGAGTTGTTTTGGTCGATAGCACGTTGTATATTGCCGTAATCATCTGATGATGACAAAACCTTGTCGAAACATTGTACATTTGCTGTTATGTTAAACTTATATTAAAGTTTCTCTTCATTACCCATTCAAGCCGTCTCCAACCATTATTAGTCTCAATGTGGGTTCCTCGTCATCGAACTAATCAGATTGGCCGTATCATTATAACGTCCCTACAGCTGAAAGGGCGATTAAGTTCAGGGACAGGGCTCGATCCCGCGATTCACAGATTACGATTAGAGCACCCTGACAACCAAGTCATGCCAAGCATAACCTAAACATACACACGCATAGATGCACAGAAAATTCTAGAGTGGATAAGTAACGATAGATGGCAGCACGATCACAAAGTTGTATAAAGGGAACAAAACTTTGAAAACTGTTTATGAATAAATCAAGGTAGATATAAAGGACGTTACCGGTGTAATTAATAGTATAAACAGAAAAATTATCAACTATATTTAACATATATGTGTGGTGAGTAACTAGTTTTATACGTACCCAGTATTTATTCTCACAAATAGTTTAATTCACCCCCATAAAATTAACTAAGACATAGTTTCCCCCAAACATGAAGGCTGAGGATTGTAGTTTCGATATTTTCAGCTCTCATTAGTGTATTTTTGGTAAAAGATGGTGCGAATTTGGCATACTAGATGTTAGATGCATGCTTTATGTTGCTATTGGAATTATTTATTCACGCAAACATTAAGTTAATCAAATTAGTGGTAAGACTTACTACCATTAAACTAGGGGAAACGTCCCCCACACCGTGGTGAAGCGTTACTTTTCGGATTTACAGTTCTAAAATTCGGGGTTCGATTTTCGCTATAGGTAGAGCACAGATAGATTATTTTGTAGCTTTGCACTAAACAAACGACAGCAACAACGATAGCTAATGGAACCTTATCTGTCCAACAATGAAAATAAAGTAATGTATTCAATAATCTTAAACATTATAAATCAGGAGTTGTATATGTACCACAGTATTGTTAGTTATGACTATCACAGTGTTGTTAATTATATGTACCACAGTGTTGTTAGTTAAATGTACCACAGTATTGTTAATTATATGTACTGTTACGTCTCCGTTTGTTAATTGA